CTTGAAAGAAAAAATTATAGTTGTTAAAATTACTTATTTCTATAGGAATCTTTATTTGCTTATTTTGACCAAAGAAATTTATCTAATGCATGCTCATTTATAAAACGTTCAGATTCCAGTTTTCTCTTGTGAATAGAAACTGGAAATGATTGCTTACTGGAAGAGGGATGAACATGGTTGACTTGACGATAAAAAACCAAAACTCCGCCGCCTCCATCCATGGGCCTCCGCCGATACATGGCGATCACTGCCATGAGATGACGGAGGAATATAATTAATAGAGCTGCTACAGAGCTCGGGATTAAATCCCAGATTTGGCTCCAGGCTCCAGGGCCGAGGTGCTGGAGCCAAACCCGGAATTTAATCCCTGGAGTTCCAGCATTTTTCTAAAATAAAAACGCTTTGCCGGTCATAGTTAGTGGCTCATTTCCGTTTTTCAGTCAAAGATTAGGTTGTCAAAATGTAATGAGTACAACTCAACTATTGAGAGCATCTCTAAGGATCCGTTTGATTGTAAGAATAGAATTTGGGTGGGAAGAAAATACATTTCGGGGAATTAAATTGTCTAGAACTTGTTTTATAGAGAATTATCAATTAAATGTGTTTGATTGATATGAATTTTTACCTGAAAAATGTTAAAATTTTGAATATTTTAGTGTTCGTTTGGCTTTATTTTTCATGAAATTTGTTAATTAAATAGATAGATTTTTTTACAATTGTATATAGAATTTGTTTCCATTGCGAAAAAAAAGGTGGAAAACCTATTTTCTCACCAAAGTTAACTACAAGAACTTTTACGTCTAACAATAAAAAATTTCATCTTTTAAGTTTACAATTTCATATTTCATTGTTGAATATAATTAACGATCAAATTAGGGCAATGTTTGACATCCATTATTTGAAAAATTAGAGGGTGTTTAAGCCTCATTTTTATGAAAAATGCATTTTAGAATAATAGATTGATGAAAAATGTGTGGTTGAAAAATAATGATTTTTTTAAATTTACGTGTAATATTATTTTAATGAAGAATATGTGATTGAAAAGAAGAAAAAGAAAAATGCATTTTGAAAAAAAAAAAAAGAATCAAACAAAGCCTTAAAGAGTTTTGAATAGTATTTGTT